GTTTCAATTTCATGTAACCCATGTGAACCTTCCTGCAAATGTCAGATGAATCAGTCAGATCAAATTTACAATAAAAACCAAATTATTGCACAACTTAACTTTTAAGGAGCAAAGATATTTTGTTTTTAATTCTAATTGCTTTGAGCAGTATGCGTTTTTAAGAATTCTCAAGCAGTTGGCATATTCAGAAAAGTTAATTGTTACAACTGCAAAAATCTAGCAACTACTGCCTTCTTTAGAGAAATCCCCCACTAGAGTCAATGAGGCATAGAAAGGATATTTTGTAGTGCTGCGGAAAGCCTGCTGACTTCTGAGGCATTCCATGTGTAGTTTAAGAGTGTGTCTTCTTCTTACCACCACCCCACAGGACAAAAAGAGGTCAAGTAACAACCCCCATCTTTTTAATTTTACAAAAGCTGCTCAGCTGAAAAACAAACAAGTCAGTTTCACCTGAATGCCACTGAACTGGCATTAAAATCAGTTAGCATCTCACTACATGTAGATGCTTCAAACTAAAATGCATACCCTCAAGCTGATTATCCACTAGCAATTCTATTAATTCTTTATAGTATAATGTACCAAAATATATGTCCTCTTGAAAAAGAAAATTGTTTTCAGAGATTACTGTTCTATTTCTCGTAATTCAAGTCAGGTCCAAAATTGCTGCAGTAAACTTCTAGCCCCAAGGCTGTATCACTTGTGTACTCCCTCTTAAGAAAAATGTTTTAAAAAGGAGAAACTTTTTATTGTTGAAACAGGTAAAGTACAGCAGAATCTAGATTTTAGAAATAACGTAATTTGTCATTCATAATATGGGTAACACTTTTCCCAAAAGTGAATAAAAAAAGTCATCAAGAAAGCAACGTCAAAGAATATGGATACCAGTTTGTAGTGCACCATATTGCCATTAATTTTCAGATGTTCAATTTCATGAACTTTTCATTCCCAACTAAGTTTGTAAAAAATAGAAGTTAACTTAAAAAAAGGCCTATGTTTAAGTCTCAGTATGAAGCAGACAAAGCAGCGTGGCACTAACTGAAATCCAGAGAGAGTATAGTATGCTGCCTCATGATCTTGTAAAGCAGTTAATATAATCAGCACTACATTTTTAGATCTGCTTTTGGCTAAATGTCCCTACAAAATACTCCACATAAGGGAATGTGCATGTCTGTGAATTTTAGGCTACAGATTTGCTCAGCAGTGTCTAGGGGTCCACCCCTGCATCCAAGATATCCTTGTGTTCTGACACAAGGGTACATAGAGATGGGCAACCACAAATGGTGCGTGGGTTGCCTGAGTGGCCCGGCCCTCCTTCATCTCAGTGGGCCACAAGTAGTCCATTACCCATTGGGGTTTCACCGGTGGCTCCTTGCCCCCCCCTCTAACTCTACCTCCCACCTGCCTCTCATGCATCAGGCCATTAGTGCCCTGCACCCACCCTAAGCTGGATCAACACAAATCAGCTGTTTATGGCATTTCAGCTGTGGGAGGGAGGAGTAGGGACAGAGTGAGAGAATCAAGAGATTTGAGGTTCCCTGGAAAGTGCTGGGACTGGGAGGAAAGAAACAGGAAGTGCAAGGCTCTGGAGCCTCACTGTGGGAGAAGCACATGAGGGAGTGGGGCAGTTGGGAGATCTGTGGAATGCAGGTTGTCTACCACCGGTATTTAGAGGGGAGACAGACCCATCAGTTCTCTCTCAACCATGAAAGTCCAGTGAAAGACTCTGAGGCAGAAGGGAAGGAGGGCAAGAAGTGGAGCACCTATAAGCAGTGTGTGTTATAAGCTGGGCACTCATGCAGTTGTTCAGGAGAGATTAAAATGCTACCTAACTGATTAGCAGAGCACCTACTTTCTGCTAGGCTTTTTGTTTCTACTGGTAGTGCACATTCACACATGCTTTGGTGTACATAAAAAAAGTTATTATTCTGTGGATGGATGGAAAAAATCCACTAATGGATCGAAAAGATTAGAGACAATGTTGCCCCTAAGGACATCTCAAAGAACTCCAATTATTAGTCAAGGTGCATTCGAAGTCTTTGAAGCGGGAGCCAGCTTAAGAGGCAGAAGCGTGGGTGTAGGGGGAAATGAGGCTCCCTTGGAGCCACTGTTTGGGGGGAACCTGTTTAAAAGCCAGCTCCCTGCGAGCACCAGCTCTCACCTGCTGCTACCCTCCCCTCCTCGCACTGATACCTCTGCTACAGAGGCAGTAACATAGGGTAAAGGGCCTTGCATGTAATCGTGAAGGTTAGGTTAACTGTTTAAACATGTACACTATCACATCCCTAATCCTTATACCAAGTTAGAAAACCAATGACCCTTAGAAGTATAGATACTCCTTGGACAGGCTCTGTCGGAGTAGAAAGTTCTCAGATAGGCCTGAATATACCAAGAGTGTAGTGTTGCTAGGGTAGTCAACAGGTTGGGTGGGGGTCAAAACAACAACTAAGTAAACTGCCTCGTGTGGTGATTTAAAAGGACCTGGGCTGCCACCACAGCAGCAGCAATTACCAGAGCCCAGGGCCTTTCAAATTGCCTCTGGAGCCTTGGATGGTGCTGTTGGAGGCTAGCTATTAGCCCTGCCCCTTTTGCCCTAGGCACTAGGTCTTCCAGAGGGCAATGGAGCCAAGACCCCCTCCCCCAACACACTGAAGTGAAGTAAAGTATGTTGCCAACCCTGAGTGTCACAGGCACAGAGGTTGCCATAAGGCACAGAAGTTTCAGGAATTCACTTGCTTGGTTTTTTGGGCTCGGTTGTTGAGATGAGAATGGATAGAATGACAAATCTGTCTTGGGATTGAATGCTCAGATGTTAAGAGTCCCAAATGACCCTGAAAAAGTCTATTAAACTGGAGTAGAAGTAGACTTTTCCATATTGACACGCAGGTGTAAAGGAAAGGGACAGAAATAGAGTTATGCAAGTTGCTATCTATACCTCCAGAATGATCAACCTTTCAGGACCCCATTGTCCAGGTAGAGAAAAACTGTGCTCATTTGGTAAAGACTGGTTGTGACTGCTAAGAGGATTTTGATAAGACCCGTGGCACAGTGGAGAAGCAAAAGGGTAGGATGTAATACTGGCAATGGTCTCTACCTACCACAAAACATAAGAAATGTCTGTATCCCTGAGGCAAAGGCAGATGGGTGTACTGGTTTTGTAAACGGGTGTACTAGTTTTATGAGATCTGCTCTTGAAAGAGATGATCTTACCACTTGGCTGTTATATTGGTATATCTCCAACAGAAGCACCAGGAATGCTATTCACTGACCAGGATAGGGCCCCCTACAGGAAAGACAGCACTTAAAGACCTGGGATTCTGGCATACCCCAGAAGCATAACTGTTAATTAGGGCCACTTTAACTGCATACTACATACAAGATAGAGGCTCAGGACAGTATTAGGTAATTTTAAAGTTTCTGAATGAGTAAAATCTGGGCCAAGAGCCAATGCTAATTTCACTGTGAGAGCATAACTTTCCCTGCATACTAAAATAGCAGGATACACATTAAGGCAGGCATGTCCAAAGTCCGGCCCGCGGGCCAATTGCGGCCCGTGTTCCGGTTTAATACGGCCCCCCAGGTAATTTGGCAATATCTATCTTTTATGGCCCCCAACAAATCCATATGTATTGAGATGAATACATTGTAAAATCTCAGTTAATGTCAGTTGGTCTAAATCAGTTATAAATATATTTGGACACAACATGTATACTTGGTGTTATGTTCCTGTTCATATTTTTTGAACTTAAAAGTTGACAGACAACCTTTATTACCAATAATATGTAATGTACTTTACAATGTTCCTGACATATATTTCAGCTTCCTGGATTTTTTTTTCATCTGGCCTTCAGATATGAAAGGCAGAGTGATTTAACACCTGTTTAGATTTGTCATCCATGTGACGAAATGAAAAGTATGCCGTTTGCAATAAACTTTGCATAAAATAGTTAATTTGCATTTAATTTTAATGGTTCAAAGAATGTCAGGCAAAATGGTCGGCCCTCACGCATATTCACTTCATCAAATCATTAAGGTATATGTTGCTCTCTCCCTGGATGGCTACTATAATAATTAAATACAAAGTGGGAAGAAGGAAGGCTCAAAAGAAATAAATTGATGTACGGCTCAAATTATCTTAAAAGGATCATCTGACTGTCAGTAAGGCCTACAAAAGTTTGAGACACATTTTTAACAGGTATCAGAGGGGTAGCCGTGTTAGTCTGAATCTGCAAAAGCGGCGAGGAGTCCTGTGGTACCTTATAGACTAACTGACGTGTAGGAGCATAAGCTTTCATGGGCAAAGACCCACTTCGTCAGATTTTAACAGGATCCACCTTACAGACTTTGCACAGAAACTAACGCAGTAAAATCTTTAAAACAGAAAAGAAACCACTCCAGTCTGGAGTAGACAGCACAATGTATTTTCATTTTCAAGATGGCAGTCTCTCCAAAGTATTAGAGAAGGTTACTTGATTTTTTAGGACAGAATGCAAGATTAGAATCTGAATACAAGTGTTTCAATAAAAGCCATGCTGTAGCGCTGTAATCATTTATACAGGTTGCTCAATTAAAAAAAAGTTTAACTATTACAAGTAGCATTTTAAATTGTGACATTTAGAAGATCAGAGAAAAATTTAGTTTTGTTAATTTACTTTGCACATTGTTATTTTTCATTTGCATTTAAAGGTTTTTCACACAGCTATGAATAAATGAAAAAACCCACTAGATCAGTTAGCTGCAAGGACATCTTTTGCATTTATATCTACTAATTTAAAAGATAATAGTTACCTAAGACAATTCAAAGGCACGAGTACCTATTTAATGTTTGGTATTTATATATCAATGGAGGATTCTGAATTTTCAATGAAGCATAAATGAGGTGTCAACTTTCATTATTATGCTTCTTTATAATCCAGCCCAGCACTTCAAAACAGTTCAAAGAAAAACAAAAAATAAAGCACTAGACATATGTAATCTATATTATTAATCAAAAGGCATCTCACCAGCTACTTCCACAATATCACCAGGGACAAGATCTCTTGCTTTAATCCTTTGTACACTTTTTCTGTCTTGTCGATATACTTTGCCCATTTCAGGTTCATATTCCTTAAGAGCTTCAATTGCATTTTCAGCATTTCTTTCCTGAAAGGAAAAAACAAAAACAAAAACAAGATGTGAAGTTTTAAAAGCAAGAAGTACTGCCAATTCTGACTAGAATGGTCACCCTTCTTTCTAATTTTCCCACACGTAGCATTACATGAATACTACTTACTCATTCTATGTTCTTTCATGGAGATATTTAAACTCACCCTGTTATATGGTTGCAACTTCAAAATGAGATTGCAATCTGGAAAGCACATCAAACAGAATTAATGGGCCCCTTGAAAGGTTTAGAAGCCAGTGTCTTGAAATTTGCAGTGACCACTCCAGAATATCCATTATGTTCTGGTAGCTAGAGATCATGCAAGCTGTAGCTTAAAGAATTATAGGGAGTTGCCCCCTGCTCTAACACATGACTCTCTGGCCACAACACCCCCTTGCTTGTATCCTCGCCAAGCCCCCTCTCTCTTTGGTCACTTTCATGGCTAGAGAGCCTACTGACAGTGTCACATGGGAGGAAAACCTATTTTTTTAATTTAGGTATTTAAATTAAAAAAAAAAAAAAAAAGAGATTTGATGCAAAGCATCTGAGGAGTAGCTGTGTTAGTCTGGATCTGCAAAAGCAACAAGGAGTCCTGTGGCACCTTACAGACTAACAGATATATTGGAGCATAAGCTTTCGTGGGAAAAGACCCACTTCGTCAGATGAATGACATGACATGACATGCATCTGACGAAGCGGGTCTTTGCCCATGAAAGCTTATGCTCCAATACATCTGTTAGTCTATAAGGTGCCACAGGACTCCTTGTCGCTTTTGATGCAAAGCAACACTCCAGCAAAAACATCTATTACAAAAATGATTACACACACATGGCTGTATGGAACACATCCTTTGATTAAAAAACGCCTCTATCCCACATCAGTCTGATGTTTCACTAGTTATTGACAAACGACAATAAATTATAATCATTGGCTTCCTCCAATACTTATTTTGTATCCCTCCTTTAGGTCTTTGTTCCACATTCAAGCCATGTCAGATTAAGAGGAATGGTCATATCCACTTACAACAACTTCTCTGTCATCTAGTTAGGAAATAACTATTGTCCAAAAGCTCTTTTCTTTGCACTTGTAAAGTAGTGATACTACATGACATTTCACACGCATTACTTGCCAACCTACAACTTCCCAAATACAGTGCCAAAGCTAGGGAACCAGAAAAGACCAACATACTCAAAGAGTACAAACAGAAATTGTAACTATAGTGTCTATGCAAAAACAAACGAAAAAACCCTCAAAACCACCCCACTCAACTAAGCATGTTAAAAGGCAGTAATTGGCTAATCGTGTACTCGATATGAACTGTATCAACTACACAGTCAATAAAGAAAAGCACTCAGTCCGGGCTCACATCAGGTCCAGCAGCCCCTATAAGTGGGAGCCCCTACTTCGCAGCTGTTGCCTCTGCCATCCACCTCATGCTGCTTTCTGATAGAGGCAGCAGTGCGGGCGGGGGGACAAGTAGCACTGTACAGACAGTGCTGAGGGAACAGGCTTGTAAACTGATTTTCTCCAGCACCAGCTCCTGCTCCCCACCCTTACTGCCTCTGATACAGAGGCAGCAAGGTTGGGGAGAGAGAATGTGAGTAGTCGACTACTTGCTTACATCCCTAGCCTCAACCCTGAATCTTCTTTCCATAATTAAGTTACGAATAAGTTACAGAACATCAGACCTCAGACGTGCTAAATATCTCTGAGGGGGTTGTACTCTGTTGGCTATTCCAAGTCACTGCAGCCATATTGCTGTTTTTAGCATAATAACGTGTGTATACCTGTCCAAACTGGAAATTATCTCCAGCTGCAAAGCAATTGTATCCTAAAGGTTCAGTTTTAGCTACAAGGGGACAAAACTGTGTTTAGAATTTAAAAATTCCCAAGCAGTATGTGGCTAAAGTGGATTTATCCTTTAAAATTCTATCAAAACACTATTGGTTTAAAAAGCCAGAGGCAAGAGGTAGTTATAGTAGAAGTACTAGCACAGACTGGCCACTAACAACTAAAATATAGCCTTGTCGAAATTTAGATGGTAACCAGTAAATACCAGTAGCTTATCTCCCCAAGATCTACGGTCAATACTAATGGAATGATACAATAAAAGTTTTCATAAAAATTACTATAGACATTTTAAGTCTGCCCTGTTGAGTACAGAAATTCCAAAGATTTTTAGGTATACTAAACTTATACCAATTGTTCCAGACTTACACCAGGTGCCAAGAGTTCTCTATAGTACATATCAGAATCCTATAAAGGCAGACTCTTATTTTTGGATTATCAGACCCATAGCCATTAGAACAGGGGTGGGAAACCTCAGGCCCAGTGACAAGAGCAGAAGAGAGGTCCTACAAGCAGGACAGAGTGGTGGCCTCTGCAGCAGCCAATCAGGGCACAACAGGCCAATATAAAATAAACTGTTGGGCCAAGGCCTGGCAGTTCCCTGATGGAGCTTGACCAGTAAGACATAAGGGCTGACTGGGAGAACAGCAGCACTCTGGACAGCTCTGAATGGAAAATGAACTTCAGACCTGGTCAGGACCAGGTCCACAGGCGAAGATTAGCTTGTAAGCCAGGGGTGGGCAAAAAGGCCACCGCGGGCTGCATCCAGCAGGAGGAAAGCACATGAAGTTTCCTCTGCTCTGTATGGAGCATGCAGTACTTAGAAGCGCCATGCATTCCTGGCAGTGGGAGGAGACTTCACACTCTCCCCCACCCCAGGCTTTGACCAGGCTGGGGGCATAAGGCAGAGTACATGAAGTCGCCTCCCTCCGCCAGGAGCATGAGTGCCTAGGGAGAACCTTGGGGGTGAGGGGAGGCGCAAAGACTTCACAGGCTCTCCCACTGCAGCCGTAACAGGAGGTAAGAAGAAGCCTGGTCCTAGGCTACATACTGGACATTTCCTCTCCTGCAGGCAGCCAGACTACAAGACTCCCCACAGCTACAGAGGGGCACTCACAAAAAGGGCAGTGCCTTTATAAATGGACGTGAGCAACATCTCAAAAAACACAGTTACAAAGGCAGTGAAAGAGAGACCACAATACATCCCTGCCAACCGCTGTGTTGTCCCTGACGTGCTGCGCTATGACACAGTGGTTCACAAAAGTGTGCCCAGATGACTGCCCTGTAGATCTCTATGATGGGCATCTGAGCTACGAAGATAGCAGAAGATGCATGGGCCCTGGTCCAATGGGCCATGATAGGCAGGGCTGGAACCTGCTCCAGCTCATAGTATGCCCTCATACGGAAAGTGATCCAGGATAAAATATGTTGGACTGACACTGACACCTGTCTTCTCTAAAGGCGGAAAGAAAACACCACATGCAAGATGAATAGCTCTCAGCTCCCTGACATTGATGTGGAGGGAGAGGTCCATGGGAGACCACATACCTTGAGTCTGTAGCTTCCCGAGATGGACACCCCAGCCTGTTTTGGAGGCATCTATCACCAACTATGTGGTGGGGGGGAAGGGCCGTGGAATGACATCTCCTCTCAGACCACTTCCTCGTACAGCTACCAGTTAAAGGACCTCGGCATGTCCATGGGCACAGTCAGCACCATATCAATTGGCTAGAATGTCCGGCTGCAGACTCATGCCAGCCAGAGTTGGAACAGTCGCAGCTTGAGCCTAGCGAGATGTACCACAAAAGTGCATGCCGCCATGAACCCCAGCAGCCTTATGCTGCACCATGCCATGGTAGTGGGGGAACGACTGGAATCTCAGAAGTTGCCAGAAAACAGGCTACCAGCAGGGAGGAACTGGCCAGCATTGTGTCTAAACAGATCCTTACAAATTCTATCCTTTGGGTGGGAATCAGAGTAGACTGGGCTTTGTTCAAGATGAGGCCCAACCTGAAAAAGGTGTCCTGATGAAGAATGTGATCTAGAACCTGAGAGCCCTTTATGAACCAATCATCCAGGCATGGGTAAACCCGAACCCTCCTTTTCCATAGGAACTCAACAACGACTGCCATATATTTTGTGAACACCTTGGGGACCACAGAAAGGCCATGGGGTAGGGTCATAAACTGATAGTGATCCCAGCCCACTGTGAATCATAGGAAACACCTGTGACAAGGCACGACTGAAATATGGAAATAGGTACCTTTGAGACAGAGGGCAACATACCAGTGCCCTGTGGCTAGACACAGCCTAATTGAGGCCAATATTATCATCTTGAACTTTGACTATTATAAAGGCATTGAGGCCCCTCAAGTCTAGGATGGGGTAAAAACTGCCCTTGGCTTTTGGTATCATGAAATAACGGGAGTAGATACCCCTGCCTTAATGGAACCTCCTCCACAGTCCCCATATCAAGGAGCTGTTGAACTTCCAGCCTTAGGAGAGATACTTGTGAGAGGGGTTCCTGAAGAGAGACAGAGTAGAGAGGGGGGCAAGAGTGGAATGGGATGTAATATCCGCTTTGCACTATGCCTGGGACAAAGCAGTCCATCGTGATAGGTGACCTAGCACAGTGGAAAGGGGATAAATGGTTGGTAAAGGGACGCTGAAAGGGACACTGACCTGTGGTTGGTATACTGTCCTCACTTGAACCTTCAAAGGCTCAGCCTAGGGCCCTGGGGCTTTCAAGGGGCCCGACCCCTGATCAGACAAGGAGCAGGAAGGCCGCCTGTCATTCCTTTTATTGTTGTGCTCCCTGCACCTGGAGAAGTCCGGCCTGTTTCCCTGCAGGAATGGATGGGAGTGGGCCCCAGGGAAGGATCATCTGTGGGGCTGGGGTCTGAACACGAAGGGATGTGAGTGTCACTCGTATCTTTCAGCCCGGGGAAACTGGTGTCAATGTGTGCAGAGAGAGGAGGTTACTCATCTTGACAGTAACAGACTTTCTTCAAGATGAGTGTCCCCGTGGGTGCTCTACATTAGGTCGATGCGGTGCCATCAAGCCTCAGATCGGAAATTTCAGAGCAGCATCCCCTGAGGTTGCACATGCACACACCTGCAGCCACACGCTCTTAAATAGTAGACATTGCAC